TCCTCCTCCTCCTCCTCCTCTCCACAAACACCCTTCCCTTCTAGCACTGATGATGTTACCTAGTTGGGTCATGAAATGTCTCCAAGAAAACCACCAAGCTCAGGGAACATCAAGGATTAGCTGGGGGGTTTTCCCAAGGAAGAAGGAAAGGTTGGCTTCGTAACATGACTTGTGTGGTGTATTGTGTGTGGAGTCCTTGGTGCTCTCGGAGTCTGGTTGTTTTCTTGCAGACGTTTCCTTACCCAGCTAGGGAACATCATCAGCGTTACAGTGTGTTGTGTGCAGATCTAGGCATAGTAATTCGCACGCCCAGAATTCTGGCTTAGGGTGCCGGGCAAATGCAGCCAATTGTGGCTTAAGCCAAATGTGACTTAGCCCAAGGCTTAAACTTCGCCTTTGTCCTTTTGTTCCTGAATCTTAAGAGGGCTTCGTCGACACGGTGGAGATTCTTCGTTTGCCCCAATTTAAGGCCTGGTCGGAGGAGGACGTGAAACGTGTCGTGGAGACAAACGAAAAACAGCGCTTCGCCCTGGGCCGACACCCATCCAGTGGACACCTCCAGATCCGTGCGAACCAGGGGCACTCCCTCCAGGTAAGGGGGTTCAGAGATCATTCAAGTGTGGCTGTTGTGGAGAGCTTTTCTTTTAAGAGCAGAAAATAGATATCCAGAGGTCTTTAACCGTGTCCTCAGGAAAAAAAAATGAATAAAAAAATGAAGTATTCAGCAGAGAAGTCTGGGGCAGATTTTAGCTTTTAGAAATCCAGAACAAAACTGCCCGCAGTGGGTCTTTTCTGTTGCTCCCTGCTCTTCCATCTGCAACAGGGGTATTGTTTTTATTAGATTTTTTTTTACGCTGCTTTTATATATTTATGCTGCTTATGTATATGTTGGTGTGTGTGTGTGTGTATTGAAGACAATACGCCTTCCTATTTTTTTCCCCACAACGACGACCCTGTGAGATGGCCGAGCTGAGAGAGGGACTAGCCCAAAAGTCACCCAGCTGCCTTTCATGTCTAAGGCGGGACTAGAACTCACGGTCTCCTGGTGATTGGCTAAAAGTCACTCAGCTGGCTTTCCTGCCTAAGGTGGGACTAGAACTCACCGTCTCCTGGTGATAGGCCCAGAGACACTCAGCTGGCTTTCCTGCCTAAGGTGGAACTAGAATTCACTGTCACCTGCTCATAGGTGCAAAGTCACTCAGCTGGCTTTCCTTCCTAAGATGGAACTAGAACTCACCGTCTCCTGGTGATTGGCTAAAAGTCACTCAGCTGGCT